TCAATTGTATGGTTCTCTCAAAACGAAAAAATTACACAAACAAAATTTTGAAATGTTATAAAAAAATGTTCACCAAAATAAAATTTTTTTTTTTTGGTTTATAGTAAAAATTGGTTGAAGGCTTCGGTGAATTATGAACATAAAATTCTAATTTTGAACCACTGTGTGCTGGCTTCGTTGTGCTGTATAAATTATGGTAAACGCATTTTGGTAGCAAAGGATGGCGAAGTCCTTGAAATGGATTTTGCTTAATTTTTTGCTACAGCAAGGGAAGTTGTACAATTAAATAATATAATTAACTGGTAAATATTTGATTTAAATTACGATATGGGTAAGGTACTTTTATCATACAAGTTGTATGTACGTATTCCCAAATCATTTTGAAAGAAATGTCCTTTATTTTACGTTGGTTAATATGGTCACCGTAGTTATGGCGGTCATAAGTTCAGCCAACACATTCAATGGTCCATTACCCGGAGCTGTTCCAATATGATGAGTAGATTTTAGTGAACCTCACAAGCCACTGCCTCTGGCTACAAGCTGGATATCTGAATATTGGAAAATAAATAGCAATTATCTTTTTAAAATGATAAGAAAAGTGTTTGTTTACAAAATTACCTGTGCCACTCTGCCTTAGTACGGTTGTTGCTTCCTTTCATACCACAGTAATTTTGTATGCAACTCTGAATCAGCAAAATTCATGGTCCTTCTCATTATCAACCCTGATCAAATTTTACCCCCGAGGAGTACTGAAAAAGGTTTATTACTGTATATACTCACGATGCAGCGAAACAAAGGTGGCGCCTTCCGCGGACCGCTAGGCCTATCTTTCTCGATTTGACAGCATCCACCCTTCCGCTGACGTCACATTATTATTTTTTCGCAGTAGTGATGAATACTAAATTTTCATATTGTACCTAAAAGTAGATACACGTACCTAAACAGTAAATATGTATTTTTGTGTGCATACATTTTTGGTAGTTGGTGGACTACATCTTCCTTTTGTACCATAAAAATTTTTCTACTTACATGAAACAATATTTTACTACGTTCCAAATGTACCTAAAATAATGTGCTTGTACCGAATGTACGTTCAAATTTAAGAAGCTGAACAGTAGGTACAATTCGCCTAGTTTTACATCACTATTTCGCAACACTTGTTCGGTTCTTCCTCTTCTTCTTCAAAATTATTCTTTACAATCTCATTCTCAAAATAATGTGCCGTCACACCCAGTTGCTCTCAGCTCGATAGGCGCAATCTTGTATTCTATCATTCTTGGTATATACTGTGGTTACGACATCAGCCATGGCCGCCATCTTGATGACGTAGATGGCTCAATTTTTGGAGTTGCCAGATTCTTAAAAAATATCTTATAAAAATACACTATTTTAGTCAAAAATACATCAAGTTTTATTTCAAATATGTGTAACCCTGATATTTACCGTTTGACAATTTGCGTTGAAGTTTGTGCCTTTTTCTGCGTCTTTCGAGTTTATTTAAATTATTAAACATTTAAGTGCGCTGTTTTTGATTTCAAAAATTACACTGAAAAGGGTAATTTAGGTTTTACCGTATGTCTAAAGGTGAATTGCAATTTCGGTAGCGAAATTTTGCTTATGTTATGAACGCTTTTTATTTAAAAATGCGCGAGTGCGTTCTGATCACTTTCAAGAATGAAATCACAAGCAAATTTCAATTTGCATTCGATTTACATTTCAGTTGTCACCATTATTATGTTAATCCGGTTTCACGTGAAGTTATAACATTTTATGTTTTTATAATAAGCTTTGCCACGATTTTATATCAAAAATGCCCATTTGATTAGGATTCCTAAAATATGCTATACGGCAGCTATATTTTCTGCGTTTTGTGTACTCTCCTTCTTCGTAAAATATTTCAGCCAATCAGAACTCACTTCGCAACTACGTCATTGGAGGAAAACAAATTTTTGACAGCACCATGTCGTAACCTTCTATTCTATGAACCTTGAACGCTTAGAAGAAAAATCAAAAACGGAATTTCGAAACTACCAACACCCTCACTACTCAGCCATCAACAAAGATTTAAAACCTCCGCAATACCCCACTATGTAAACGGTTTTAATAATAGTAATAATATCCCAACGGTTTTTACCCTCCATTCCCGCCCATCCGCACGAGGGGCGCAGTCCGCATGACGTACGGAACCAATATTTTAAATTTTTGTGCCGAGTCACGATAGGCAGGAGTTTGTTAAGTGTCGAGATCTAAAACTGTTCAGCTACAGAACTAAATTCATCAGCTGATTTTATGTATTTATGTCAATAATTCACTTATTGAGAGAGGAGAGTATCGCTTTCTTAATGCTGAAAAGCGGATCTGATATATCAAACGTTCTGGAATGAGAGTTAAAATCCTGGCATAAGCAACGGAGTGGGTCGTGCAATTCAAAATTGGTTTTACAAGCTTTCAGAAATATGGGACAAAAGTGTCTTGATACGCGTGACGGAACATTAAAGCTTACATCAGCCAGAAGAGACGGACTTGAAATTGAGCCTGTCAGTAATTTAACCATAAAAATTATACCAAGCATTTCCCTGCGACTGGCAAGTGTAGGAAGGTTAATAAGTTTTAAGCGACTCGTATAAGGTGGAAGAATATATTGAGAATCCCATCGGAAATTTCTTAAAGCAAAAAGTAGGAATTGTTTTTGAATTGATTCTATCTTGTCTGAGTAAATTTGATACCTTGGATTCCAAACCACCGAGCCGTATTCCAGAATCGGCCTAACTAATGTTGTAAACAGGGTTTTAGTGATATACGGGTCACTAAATTCTTTTGACCATCGTTTCACAAATGCAAGTACACCTTTAGCCTTGTTGACTGTTACATTAATGTGAAGATTAAAATTAAGCTTAGGATCCATTGTGATACCAAGGTCCACAAAATTGTATACCTGTTCCAGGTTATGGTTACCTATTATATAAGAAACTGGCGGAACAGCTCTTCGCGAGAAGCACATTACTTTACATTTCTTAAGATTTAGAGGCATAAGATTTACTTTACACCAGTAAGCCATGCTGTTTAAGTCTGATTGTAGCAAAGACCTTTCTTCAATTGAAACGTACGATTTATAAAGTTTTACATTATCTGCATACATTAAAATTTTGGAGAATTTTATATCTGTAGAAATATCGTTTATAAAAAGCAAGAACAGAATCGGGCCTAGGTGGCTACCCTGAGGGACTCCTGAAGTAACATCAATGACGTCAGAGATAGTATTTTTAAACAATACCCTTTGTGATCTATCATAGAGGTATGAAGAGATTCAACGTAGAAAATTAGGTGGAAGACCAAGAAGATCAAGTTTATAGATGAGCAACGAGTGGCACACTTTGTCAAATGCTTTACTGAAATCAGTATATATAACATCAACAGTTTTGCTCCCACTAAATGCTTTTGAGATATAGGATGTTAATTCAAGTAAATTTGTAGAAGTTGATTTGCCCTTGCAAAATCCATGTTGACTGTATGAAATGCTTGAAGTGATAGAATGCGTCAACCGATTTGTTATAATTGCTTCAAATAATTTAGGAATTGCAGAAAGCTTAGCTATGCCCCGGTAGTTCTCCACTGAAGACCTGCTACCGCTTTTATGTAAGGGGGTTATGAACGATTCCTTCCATACAGTTGGAAAAACGCCCTCTTTAAGAGACAAATTAAATAAGGCTGTTAACGGCTCATAGAGATAATCAGCACAATTTCTAAGAAAACAAGTGGGGATCTGGTCAGGACCATAACTAAAAGACTGCTTTAAGGACTTCAGGTAAACTAAAACATCATCGGGAGATATTATAGGGTTATGTATTGAGTTAATTGGACTTAGTTTAAAAGGATAGTCAAAGTATGGGAGTTAGTGGAATAATTGGATTTAAAAAACTGAGCGAACATGTTAGAAATTGTTTGATTATCACCAGAGACGGTATTTTGATACTTCATGGCGGAAAACGAGGACATTTTCCCCGACTCCGCCTTGGACACACCGACACAAACACATGTATATCTCCTAGAAAAAGGAAGCTGAACAAACTACATAGTTATAAACAAAAGTAATTTCTGCAACGTAGAGCTGATGGCCCGGTAGCCAATGCTCATAATAAACTAAAGTTCTGATATTCATATCAGTACTAAATAATAGTAATAAATACACGGTGTTTATTTCGCTTCTTTAATTTTTTTTATTTTTTTATTGCATTTCTTTTTTCCATTTGTCGTTTCTTTAGTTTATAAAAAAAGTCTATAAGATTTTTAATAATATAATTATGCATATACATATGTATGTAAATATATACTAGATACATAGTTATATGTATGTATTGTATATAGGGAAAGGGTTTTTTGCCATAACGACGGTATTTTCGAATTCTAACTTCTTCAATTAAATTCAATTATACATATTATTTTATTCGTTTTGATGTTAAAAATATAATCGATTTTTGTTTCCGTTAAATATGTTTATCAGGCAGGTTCTAGAATCCGAGTGAAAGTAAAATTGAAAACTAAAAATACGAACACTAAAATTCGGCTTCAAAGTTAACCGAAGTCATTTGTAGTCGGAACCTGCCTGTATTGTTAAATGAATATATGTATGCAAATGGTATTGAGGAAATGTTCTCGCGTCTTAATGTAACTACAAGCTAGAAAAAACAAACGCGCTCTGGTGGTATTGGTGAACTCGAAAATGTCGAGTACCAAAAATACATCCGTAGTTGCATAATCATATAGTATGTATATAAATATAAAACATAGATATATTTTTTTATTATATAAATTAACATTAAACACATTTAAAAAGGTAAACCAGCGGAAAATTTTAGAGTAAGGAGTGGTTGAATATAGCTTAGCTACTAAACAACTTCACAAAACTTTTCTTTTGTCGCAAATGTATATCAAATAATGTAGATTTTGCACTGAATAAACTGCCTTAACACAAAATATGAAATGTATTTTTTTTTCTCATTTCATTTTCTTTTTTTTTCATTTTTACTAGTAAAACACGCCAAATACTATATGCTACTGCCTTTCCTTTCTTACTCGCTTCATTTTTTTATTTTATTTTTCTGTAAAAATATTAAAATAGTTTAGATATTTTTTGTTTAATAAAAATTGTAAAAAGATCAAATACAAAGCATTTTTGTAAGAACATTGAATCGCATTTTAGTATCGAAAAATTGGGGTTATATAATAATACAAGTAATAATAATAAAAAGACCTGAGCCCACGCTTGTGTTGCACGTTTCAATCAGCAAGTTTTCCATGTACATTTATATGTATGGTAATCGAATTGTTTTTATTTTTGCTTTTATTTCTCTATTACTATGTATAAATTGTTGCTTTGCGTTTGTGTGATTAGTCAAATACTCTCCCCATAACTTGCAACTGCAGCATACTTTCAAATCCACTTACTGATCAGATCCCGTACGGCCAATGAAATGAACTCAATCAAATCACACAACGCTAGTTGCTTGTATATATGTATGTTTTTTTTTGTTTTAATTTATTTATATGTAGTGTATGTACATATGTATATAATTATCTTACTAATTTGTTTTGTTACATTGGTCTCTCAACGCCGGCAACGATTTTATATTTGCTGATTATCGAATGCTCTATAGCTGCTATCGCAAGCTTTCCATATATCGCAATGCACATAAGTAATTATATTCATACAGAAATACATACATATACATACATATGATTTTATGCATTTAATATGCGCATAAAAATGTCATCGCTTTATTTAAAAAAATTCTTTTCTTCCTTAATTGCATGTTATTTGTTGTTGCTGTTTTACTTTTAATCTTCGCTATAAATATTCTCACTGCTACTTCTTTTGTGGTATGAAAATATTTTTACAACTGTTTCATCTGCGCTCGCTCTTACATATTTATGATAACTTTCGATTTTGTTTTACTGTTTTTCTATTTCAAATATTAAAACGTTGTTTTATTTTACAACTTTCGCTCATTGTTTTGCTGTTGCTTTCCGCTATGTTTAAAATAATAATATTAAAAATAATATATATATGTATATAAATCACTTTTCTTTCACATTCCGTTCAGTCAATGACAACTCGGGTCAAGAGAATGCCACGTTTGCTGAGCCATAAGCTGTAAGTAGAAAATAAAATGTATATAATTTTCCATCTTCTCCGATCTATATGTATGTTCACAGATTGATAACTTTAATTGCATGCATACTTACCCTAGTCCAGCGCCTAATAACAAGGACAGCACATTCGACAAAATGAGCGAGTATAGTATTTCTCTGGAAAATAGCGAATTCTTGCCAAGACGCGTCAAACGAATGGAATAACCCGCACCCTTCTTCTTTTGTGGGTGTTCAAATTTCCAATCTCTGCAAGAAAAAGTAAATTAGGTTTTAAAAACTTTAGGCCCGTTTTTCCATTTTCATTAGATTGTGAAAATGCATTAAGAATGAGATCAGGAGTAAGTTGATGTTAACTAAAACTAGAAGTGACAATACGAATGCATTTTGAATAACTATTTCTTATACTCACTTTGGTGGTTCTTGATCCGGTCGGCTATTCCATTCATCCAGCCAGTCAGTGTCTTTGTGACTATCGCCCTCCTACAATAAATATAAGAAAAATAGATACTGATAAAAACACGATTTTTAGGCTTCTGCATTGCTACAAACCTTATTCCAATAATTAATGTAAACATTCTTGAGATCTTCATTGGGTGTGAGCTCGGTATTCGGACTGTTTGGTGGCGATTTGGGGCTGTAAATATTAATAATAAATGAAGAAAAAACTCAAGTAAAACGGTTACATTCGCTTACCTATCCCTGGGTGTATCACGGCGCGAACTGGCCAGCGAGACAACACGACTGGAGTGATTTGATTCGCGTTGCGCTTCGCGCAACAAACGTAAATACTCTTCACCACTTGTGAAGGGCAATGGTGTGATTCTATCCGGACTCTTGACGCCAGCCATTGTAGCAGCGCTGCTCAGCTCAATCCAAGATTCTGAAATATATAAAAAATTATAAAAAATTAAAAACAATACAAAAATGCTAATTTTGGCAAATTAATACAAAAAAAACTAGCGAATTTCACTAGTAACACACCGTACCTTGGAAAGCAAAATGATAACAAAGTAGATATAGCGAAAATTCAAGATCCAAAATATGTATGTATATACTGAGAAATGAGCTTCCTCTGGCTGTTCAAATTTCAGTACAAATGGATAGCAGCTATACTGCAATGAACTCACTAACAGACTGACTCGCCTGCTGTTTGTTGCCAGCTAACTGGCCCTACAATGGAGTACACTTGAGTACAAGCTTGTCGAAAAAAACTCAAGACAAGCCTCAGTTTGTATATAAAGTTATTTACAGTACGCATACAAGCAAGAAGAATTGTTTTTTTTTCTTGTTAGCTATTATTCTTTTTAATAAGCAACAAAGAGAATCAGCAGCTGACTGACAATCACGACCAACAGCAGGATGATGACTAACCACTACGTAAACTGGCGCGGATATAGTAAATCGTCAACAGCAACAAAGCAGGTAAACAATAACAAAAGCGATGAAATATATATAGCACAGAGAATGCAATTACATCGTGGTAAATTCGCTCACTTATTCACTCAGAAAAGAACATTAATAATAACAATGGAAAACTCACTCAAATGTAGGCATAAAGACGCAATTGCTTGGATAATAGCTATGTATTTACCAATGACTGCAGGGAACACACGCCAGTGCATCTACATACATATCGTCGTTTAAAATACAAAACCGCGTATGGTCAATCTGGAAAACCGCGTAACTGACATTTGCTGCCAAAAATTGGATTTGCCCACACAAGCTCTTGGCTCAATCCTTACCAGGGACGTGAACCGGATGAAAAATTTTGTCGGTTCGGTTCAGCGGTTCTAACCGTTTTTGCACTTTTGGATTGGTTCGTCAAAGCGGTTTTTTTGGTATTTGAACGGTTCAACGCATGATAAAAGCAGTGTAAGGTAAAACCGTTCTCTCAATGCGTCGGCCATGATTTTTTTTTTTGAAGTTTGCCAACATTTTAAAATCGTATAAAATTGAGAGTAAAAAAAGGAATTGTTCAAAGTTGTTGTTTGAGATTGAAAAAAATTAAAATTAAATTGCTTGCAAACGTCAAGAATTTGAAAAATTCCTCTCAGCGGTTCTACCTTCCTATTTTTTATCATGGGTTCAACGGTTCGAAAAACAAGCAAGTAATAAAGTCTAAGTTCGGGCGGAGCCGAACATTAAATACCCGGCGCAAGTATTAAATATATTATTTTCACCTTTCCGAAAGCTACCGCAACATGGTAGGCCGGGGTGTATCAACTTTAGCGTCCTTAAATTTCGAAATATTGAAGTTTCAAGCATTTTTTGAAATTTACGTTATATGAAAAGCGGCCTCAATTTTAGTCTGATTTCAATAATTTTCAACGTTTTGCTTTTATTTGGCAAGCACGATAGCCATACCGAGATTGAAACAAATTCGTAGACCGGTGTCACGCCCGTTTTCCAAAATTTTATCATAAACGTATTTCTTGGCAAAGAATTGTTGCAAGCATCAATTAGCTTTAATATTTTTTGATTTATCGAAGATTTCGTATTTCTCCAAATTACCGTTATATGGGAGGAAGGCGTGGTTATTGTCCGATTTTGCCCATTTTCAATACCATCCGTCCTACGCCCGAAAGAAGTGCACGTACAAAGTTTCGTTAAGATATCTCAATTTTTACTCGGGTTATCGTGTGCACAGACAGACCGCCGGAGGGACAGACGGACGGACGGACAGACAGTCACCGCTTAATCGATTTCTCTTTTCATTCTGATCACTTATGTATACATTTGTATAGATATAGACTCGTTTTACCTGTTACAAACCACCTTAATGTGACCAAAGTTATAATACCCATGTGCACAAGTGCGCTCGGGTATAAAAAATAACGCGCAAGTTTAAGTGTCAAGTGCAACAACACGCAAGGTTAAGAGTCAAGTTTCCGTCAAATGAGATGGGTTTCCTTTACAATTGATATTGTCACATGGTAAACAAACATGGTAGATATTGCCAAGTTTAACAAAAAGAAAAAAGTGGGTACATTTATCTATTAAAAATTGGTTGAAACGAACCTTTAAACCTTTATGGAAAGTGGTTCGGTTTTCGGTTCGGATCAAACATTTGTGGAAAATTTCGGTTCGGTTAATGGTTCAGTTAATTAATAGAAAAAATCGGTTTTCCGGTTCAAAACCGGTTCGGTTCAAAACCGGTTCACGTCCCTGATCCTTACCCATTTCTCCTGAAATATACTAGCCAGAAATGCAATTGCTTTATAAAAAAGAGAGCCTTTTTCAAATATGAGTCCCTAGAAAATAATTTATACAACCTCACATACGCGGTTTTGCGTTTTGTTGATACCCGGTTTTGTATTTTAAACGACGATATGTACATACATCAGACGTATAACAGCCGGAACAAGGTAATACAATATCATGTGAATGTGAAAATTTAAAAAGTCGAGAATTTAATTCAGTTAATAAGTAGAATGCAATTGAGTAGAAAAGCATTAGGGCTATTCGCGATTCGGTGCATAAGAGCTGACAAATTTATGCAATTGCAGAAATATGCCATGGATTGTGAGCGACCTTTATAAACTGTCATGGCAAAGCTTTTGCAAAACAATTTTTGTGCATCAGCTTTGGTTTTGTTTATGAATGCAATGCATAGCATTTTTATGCTATGGATTTTCGGTATTGCAAATTTGCCAAGCCATGACAAATGCAAATGCGTGTATTTTGTTTGTGTATTGCAAATAGTTTGCAATACAAATTTGCAATGCAATGATGCTAGGCCATTTGCACCGGATCGCGAATAGCCCTATTGAAAAGTGTACAGTGTTCTCTCTTCTTAACTGATATTAGTTCTGTTCGCTATGCAAAAGCCAGTCAGAATTCGCCAGTAACACAATTCAGAGAATAAGGTATCGTAAAGCTTAAACAGACGGCATGGTTGATCCGGATTAACTCGGACTTAATCCAGATCCACTGCAGTTAATTCCCTAGTTGATCCGGATCAACGCTGCGGTGTGTTTATGCTTTTACTCTCCCAAAGAGAGAAACTTACTAAGTTTTGCGCGAACAGGAATTAGCAAACATTTGCAAGCTTCACTGCCAGCTGGCGTCCACGGTTGCACATCGAGCATAATACATTTTTTAAATTATTTCAGATGGAAAACAAAACAGGACCTATACCTATATTTCTTCTTATTCTGACTTTCTTCAACATACGCTTCAATTTCTTTGTTCCTGGACTGCGTTCCGATTACGAATACAGCTTTTTCAGCCGAGTACCTTTCGAATGTTGGGAATTAATTAAATTAATTGAATAAACAAACATTTACATACTTCTTTCATTAGTAAATCGCGACAAGATTGTTCATTTTTAAATTTAACGAACTCTTTGATTCAAATTATTCTTGACAAAAATGCAACCGTGTGCCACAATCCTGCTTACAAATTCTTGCTGGCCAAAATTTTCCCAGCATGAATTTGCAACTTCCCCTCCAAATGAAATGTCAAAATTGTACTCGCTCCTTGCAAGTTTTACTAGTTTTTTGGTCAAACGAACACGATTTGGTAACAATTGGTACCAACTTGAAGAAGTTTTTTGCATAGCGAACACTCTTCATATCGGGTTTTTAAAATGGCAATTCACTCGCATTAATTTTCTTCTTAGAGGAATTTCCACTGGGCAATGAAATGACAAAAATGTCGAAAAATTTTTTACCATTGAATAAATGGAATGTGGCACCAAATTTTTACTGGGAAACTGGGGATTAATCGGTATTTTTAAAGCCTTAGTTTGTCAGTAAAATTTTTTGCAATTTAATACCAAGTGGAAATACGTGAGAGATACTGATCATAAAATTCGACGTCTGGAGGCTACTTAATCAACCTAAGATCAAAAATCACTTGGACGGCCTCCAGTAAGTCATCCACTTGAGAACAAGCAAGCTGCGATGGATAGTATTAAGGAGGACTGACTCATCAACATCGACGCTAAAATACACCTCAATTTGCGATTTCTCGACTACAAAGATGTTTGTATACAAAATGTCTATGGTTTAACAGCTGATACGAGCTGACCGCCAAATCAGTGTGGTGCAGAATCAGATCAAGGTCGAGAACTTGTTAATTAGCAATAAGGCGCATTTCCACCTCTCTGGAGATCTAAACTAACAAAATACGCGGATTTGTGCACCCAACAAGAAACAGTGATTGAATTGTAGCTCTTTTGACTGGGTAGAATTATCGCCGGATCTCACGATCCCAGACTTCATTCTACTTTCGAGCTCCTAAATCCAAAAATGCGAAATCTTGTTGTCGCCTGGATTTGAGTGGCGTATTCTTAGTCCCAAGTTTACCAAAAAAATACTTATAAGATTGTATAACACTTTAGATGGGAATGCAGCAAAAAAGGTTGATGGTTTGTGGTTTGTATGTATGCACATTTATAGACGTTAAGAAACCTAGTCAATTAAGAGATTTTTATTACACTTTTCAACAGTTTTCCAACAACTTTTTTTATGTGCGTTTATGCTAATTATCTCCTGTAACAATGCGTATTTATTCTTTGTCCTTTGCTGTATTAAGGCCGGATCACAAGATTGGATATCTGCCCAAGATAAATGCGAACAAACTTGTGTCGCATTACTGTATTTTACACCAATAGCTCCAATATTTTTTTTTTACAAATTTGTACAAATATACCAAGAGTGTGATCTGGGCTTAAGACTATCGACTTTCTGTGCAAAAAATTAATACCGTTCACCAAAATATTTACGATGTATCGTTATCAAGCCACTTATTTGCTCATACTCAAAAGTTTGTTCGTTGAAAATTCAGCAAGAATTATTCATCACTCAAAGTATCCGAGTAAGAAAAATTTCTCTAAAATTCTCTGTCAAGTAGAGAAACTTGCAAATTTCTGCACGA